GTAGTAGCAGTGTGTACTATCTACAAGATGCACTGCAGAAATTCACCAAAGATCCTCAGACAGCACCTTCCAAACCCATGACCACTTCCATCTAGAGGGACAAGGGCATCAGACATGTGGCAACACCACCACCTCCAAGTCACTCACCATCCTGACTTGGAAATATATTGACATTCCTTTACTGTCTCTGGGTCAAAATGCTGGAAGTCCCTTCCTAACAGCATTGTGGGTCAACCTACAGCAGGTGGACTGCAGCGGTTCAAGAAGGCAGCTCACCACCACCTTCACAAGGGGCAACCAGCGATGGGCAAGAAATGCCGGCCTAGCCAGTGACGCCCACATCCCACAAATAAATAGAGGAAAAAACACAGCAATTTAAGTAGCTACTGGCACAAGGGGGTAACTACTATGCAGGATTCAGGAACAAATACATAAAGGAGACACTTAAGGATTTTTGTTAATAAAGAACAACTCAAATGTATCATAACTCCCACTTAGCCCAAGATTGCTCATCAAAATGTTCCATATTTTCAGTACGTGGAATACAATTAAATGTCCCTTGCTGTCCAAGGCCTTGAAAAGTCTGGTCCTTGCAAACTTAATAAATTAAATTTACGATGTGGCTGTCATTGCCTGGGCCAGCGTTCAGTGCCCATCCCTTATTGCCCTTGTCAAAGTGGTGGTAAGCTGTCTTCATGAACTACTGCAGTCCATGTGGTGCAGGTTTACCCACAATGCTATTAGGGAGGACGTTCCAGTATATATTTCCGAGTCAGGATACTGTGGGAAACCTGGGGGAGCAGGTGATGATTCCATGTATCGGCTGCTCTTGTCCTTCTCGATGTAGTCTCGATCGCAGGTTTGGAAGGTGCTGTTTGAAGAACCTTGGTGAATTTCAACAATGGGTCTTGTCATTGGAAAATACAATTGCTATGAGTGTCAGTTCCAAATGTCATGCTAATGGTAGGAAACAATCAACTACCAACCCTGAATGACATACAAGGTGTGAATTGCATATCCTGCTGCATTTTCCAGCATCTCAGGATTATTTTGTTGTTTGCAGCAGAATAACACCTTGAAACCACAATGCCAACCTACTGAGAAGCTTTATTGGATAAAACGAAGAAAAGCAGATGCTGAAGATGGGAAACAAAAACAGAAACTACAGGAGAAACTCAGCAGATCTTGTAGCATCTGTGGGAGAGAAAGTAGAGTTTTAATATTTTTTTGAGTCCGGTGACCCTTCAGAAGGAATTACAAAGGTTAACTCTGCTTTCCCATCACAGGTGCTGCCAGACCTGCTGAGTTTCTCCAGTAGTTTCTGTTTTTGTTTTAAAAGCTGATATAGTCAACTTTAGACACGCTTCTGTTGACATGTGTAAGTAGCTTAGAGCTTTGTAGTATCTCCAATTTGGTTGATGGCAGATCTGTGCAATCCGCAAGCATTCCGACTTCTCTTAAGACTAAGTAGCCGCAGGGATACGGGAATGTTACCATGTTTTTTTGGGGATCAGTAATGTGTGGAAGGGAATCCCACAATCTGGAATTGCTTGTTTTTATTTCATTTGTTTAAATGACGTAAGTCTAAGTTCAAAAAGATGTGCACATAATATATATGGATTCAAAGACCGCAGATGAAAGAGGGGAGAAGGATAAACCTGGTTACAGGCCAGACCATTTACTGCCAGTGGTGGGAAAAACACTGGAGGTCAGCATTGCAGACAAAATCAATTGTCATTTGTATCAAAAATCTTGAAGTTGTACACAGTAACGAGAGGGCATTGGAAAAGTGTCTACTCTGAATGAACACATTGTTTGGAGACTGAGAAAATTTAGGGCTATTTGAAGTAGTGTAGCTAGAAAAGGTCAAGTGTAACTTCAAGACTTTATGCATGGTGTGTTTAAAACAAAAGCAGGTGAAATTTTGTGTGGGAGAGGAATACACTGAGATTTTTCCAGAGGGTGGAGGGTAACTTCTTTAAGGTAGGCATCCTTAGAAGACGCTCCGCAGTGGGGTTAAAATTGTTACAGAAATAGTAGGAACTGCCGATGCTGGAGAATCTGAGATAATAAGGTGTAGAGCTGGGCTGGATGAACACAGCAGGCCAAGCAGCATCAGAGGAGCAGGAAGGCTGACGTTTCGAGTTGAGACTCTTCTGCATTGGCAGTTCCTACTATCTCTGAAATTTTGTGTGCAGTTTTGTGCGCTAAGAGCAGAGAAAGTGGATATCAAAGCTATACTAGGATTATACCAAAAATAGGAATTCATAGATGGGAAGTAAAGGTTTGAAATAGAGGTTAGGGGGAACATCTAATGGAGATTTACAAAATTGAAAAGTTTTACTGACTCTCTTTTCAATGGTACTCAGGAAATAAAGAAGCATGGAGACTCTTCATAATTAACAAAGCATTGAGATAAAACAGAAATTGTATTTCTGCAAAAGCTTGTTGGACTACGCTTTACTAGATGTGGCAGTAACTAAAACATAATTTAAGATCAATGGTTGCATATTTAAAAAGGGAAATCTTTTACAGACTGAGGATTTGAGTTGGTAGTGTCTTTGTCCTTGGCCCAGCCACCTTCAGTTGCTTCAGCAATGACCTTCTGCCCATCAGCTCAGAAGTGAGAATGTTCGCCAGTGATTGCCCAATTTTCAGCACCATGTGTAACTCCTCTGTTATGAAGTAGTCCATGTCCAACTGCAGCAAGACTGAGACAATATCCGTACTTGGACTAACTAGTGAAAAGTAACATTCACTCTACACAAGTGCCAGGCACTGCCCATCTCCAGCAAGAGAGAATCTAAACCTCACCCCTTGACATTAAGTGGTATTACCATCAGTGAATCCTACACTATCACCATTCTGAGATTACCATTGACTAGAAACTGAACTGGACTAGGTATTTAAATATTGTCTATACGAGCAGATAAGTGGCTAGGAATCTTGTAGCAATTAACTCACCCCTCGAATTCCAACATCTGTGCACCATTTTGAATTGAATTAGCTTTATTGTCATGGACCTGTATGAGTACAGTGATAAGTTTACAAGTTGTCACTTATAGCGCCGTCCTAGATACAAAGGTACCTAGGTACTGATTCCTGAGTACACGTGGGGAAAAAAAAATTAGAAAACTAAAGAAATAAAAAGTTCAGAATAACAATGCTTCCACTATGCTATAACAAAGGGGGAAAAAATGAGAATTTAAGACCAAGTCCACTTAATCCATTTCATGGCGCTGGGTGCAAGGACACCCACCGTTCCACCCTGTTGGATTCCCGGGCCAGACCGACCCCAATGCTGAAGATAACACTGCGTGGAGTTACTGAGTGAAGCTGTCACAAGCATAGCCAGACTGATGCTGTTGAAAACAGCTACCAAAGCTGGTGCCATACATACCGTCTGGGTGAAAAAGTTACCTTTCAGCTCCTGATTAAATCTTTTTCCCCTCTCACTATAAAACTATGCTTCCTAGTTTTGGACTCACCCACCTTAGGAAAAACAGCTTGCTTATTTACCCTATCCACACCCCCCCCTCATGATTTTATAAACCTCTATAAGTTCACCTCTCAGCCTCTCATGCTGCAGAGGATAAAAGCCCCGGCCTGTTCAACCTTTCCCTATAACTCACACCCCCCAGACCCAGCAACAACCTTGTAAATTTTTTCTGAACTCTCTCAAGTTTAACAACATCCTTTCTATAGAATTGTATGTCATATTCCAAAAGTGGCCTCGCCAATGTCCTGTACAGCCACAACTCCTATACTCAATGTTCTGACCAATGCAAGCAAGCGTGCCAAATGCCTCCTTCACCACCCTGTCTATCTGCAACTCCACTTTCATTGAACTGTGCACCTGCACCCCTAGGTCTCTTTGTTTGGCAACACTCACAAGGGCCCTTAATTGTATAGCTCCTGCCCTAGTTTGCCTTACCAAAATGCAACTCCTCACATGTATCTAAATTAAACTCCATCTGCCACTCCTTGGCCCATCTGATCAAGGTCCCTTTTGTACTCTGAGGTAACCTTCTTCGCTGTACACAACACCACCTATTTTGGTGTCATCTGCAAACTTACTAGCCATATCTCCTATATTCATACCCAAATCATTTATATAAATGATGAAAAGCAACGGACCCAGCACTGATCCTTGCTGCACACCACTAGTCATGGCCTCCAGTCCAGGAAACAACCCTCTACCCCCAACCTCTGTCTCTTACGTTCGAGCTAATCTTGTATCCAATTGGTTAGCTCCCCCTGGATCCCATGTGATCGTAAATTGAAGGATAAGTATTGGCCAGGACCGCAGAGAGATCTCTTCTCTTAAAATTAGTGCCATACA